GGGATGTGGGTGACATGCAGATGTGTGTCCCCACTGGGAAGGCTCTGATGAGAGCATTGCCTCTGACCACAGTGCAGGCCACGCTGGAAACTGAAAGGAAAATATGAAACACCACGGTGTTCTGACCATCTCACCTCTGCACTAGCTGACTCTCTGGAAATCTTCTTAGCTGTTTTTCTTTCATTAGTCAAAAATCTAATTAGTAAGTTAACGATTAAAAAGGTCGAAAGTTACAAGACTTCCCTGGACTCTCATTCATAAGGACTTCGTGAGTCCTAGTTACCTGGGTCACCACTCAGCTTGTGAAACAGCAGACAAGTCAACCACGATGGGAATCACAGGGTCCCCCCACCCCAGCTCATGTGGCTATCTAGCACTGTCTGCTCAGAAGAAAGAGGCGGGGTGTAAGTTACCTGGTAACCACGTAAGTTACGTGGTTCAGCAGGCACCACGCTCACTGAATGAAGCAGAGAGGAAACAAACTGTGTCTATTCTCACCTTAAAGTCCATTGATTCAAAGGTTTCTCATATTGGGACATTACATTTTGAAATTACTGTTTTCAAATGAGAAATCTGAATTCCACTGGAAACTGAATAAAATACAAATTTGAATGTTAAGATCTGAAAAGTCTTTTTCTGTTGCTGGTGGAAATGTCAAATAGTAGTCACTCTGGAAAGGGGTTTGTCAGTTTCCTAATAAAAGCCAACATGCACTTCTCACACACCGGGCAACCACACTTGGGCATTTTCCCAGAGAAGTGAAAATTACAGCCACACAAAAGCCTACACAGGAACACTCGTGGCAGCTTTATTTAGAATAGCTAAAAACTGTGAGCAACCAAAAGTTTTTTCAATGGCTCGATGGTTACACAAACCACATAAATCCACACCATGGAATACTACAAAGCAATCAAAGGAAGAAACCGTTGATACATACAACATCCAGCTTGGGTGGCCCTCAGGACACTAGGCTGAGTGGAAGAAGCCAGTCTCAAAAGGCCATATGCTATGTGATTCCATTTATTTATCTCAGTTTCTCAAAATAACAAAATTATAGAGGTGGAATTAGTGGTTTCAGGGGTTTCAGGAGGGGGTAACAGTGCACCAGGCCCGAGCAGAGTGGGGGTACTGTAAAAAGGAAGCAGGAGGGAGGCCTTTGTGGGGATGGGACAGTTCTGTGTCTTGATCGTGGTTCTGGCTGTATGAATACACATGTAAGAAAATGACACGTGTGTACAGGTATCCCCTGCTATCAAAAGGTTCCTTTGACATGGCAAAAAGCAAGGAAACGATTACCATTAATTCATATGGAAACATTTTTTAATGTTCCCAGACCCCCAAAGTTACCTACCAAATCATACCAAATATGCTTAATTACGTCCCGTTTTACACCAAGCGACACGCCCTCATGAACTCTCTTAGGTCTTTCTGGTTCCCGAGGACCCATCTTGCTAACGGACACACAGAGTCAGTGGAGACAAAGCCCAGATGCTCCCAGACACAGTCAGGGCTCTGGGGCCCGAGGCTGAGACACCCAGTGTGGTCCTGGGAAGGAGCTCGGGGCCGCTGACTCTATGATAGCTGCTGCAGAACAGATGTGGGCTCTCTTTGAGCTTTTCACCTTTTTTCGTAAAAGTGAAAGTCCTCTTTGGGGTTCAGTTAGCGGAAACGGGTACTGATGTAGGTCTCCTATCAAGTGAAGTGGTGGAAAGTGAACTTTCTGAAAGTGAGGACACCTCCACAGACACATCTTGCTTCGTTGGTGTCCTGGTTTGATATTGTCCTTGCGTGTGGACAGATGTAACTATGGGGGATGCTGGATGCAGGTGATGTGGGCATCCCTGAACTATCTTTGCAGCTGCCTACGGATTATAAGTACTGTAAAGTCAGAAGTTTAAAAACATGCATTTTAATGTTAAAGACTCTAAAATAAAGCCATTTAGGCAAAGACCTGTGGGAGAAGATGGGGACGCGCAGGTGCCCCTGGGGTCTGTGCTATCCTCGTCTGTCATGGTCCGGAAATGAAATGCAAAAGAGCCCGAGACAGCAGGGGTGGCGTGGGCCTCAGCGGCCCCACAGGAGCCCTGGTTTAGTTCTGCTCTCCTCTTTCCCACAGGAAAGCCCTGGGCACCGGGCCTGCTCTCCAGACTTCACAGTGGGCACTTAGAAACCAGCGGCTGAGGGACGGGTGGCTGCAGGCACTGCCAGTGTCCTTTCTGGGCCACGGATGGCATTTGAATCCAGCTTATGGATTTCATTTTCTCTGCCCCATTTTTCTGGCCTCTGCTCCTGGTTTTAGAATCTACTTTCTGGACTCATGTCCTTAGACTGACATCTGCCTGTCTGTGATGTCTTGGGCTCCAAGCCTGGGAATCTGCTGGGACTGCCACGGCTGGAGCTATGTGGTCAGCCCCCATTGGCAGCAGCAGGCAGCATACCCAGGTGACCAGGGCAGAGAGGGCTTCTACTGGCTGACTCTATGCTGTCCTCTCCAGCCCAGCATGTCTTCTGCTCCTGTGGCATCAGAGTCATCACTTACCTCGATGATCACATGATGTTCTCCCTTTCCCCTCCCGAGATGAGAGGCACACACAATTCTATACTCCTTGCTAGGAACGCTTACTGAAGAAAAAAACCAGTGCACAGCAGCGCATACAGAATAACCCAACCAAATATTTCCATGTGTACGGCAGTCCCTCCTTATCTGCAGGGGGCATGGTTCAGTACCCCAGTGGATGGCTGAAATCGCGGCAAATACCAAACCCTATATACAATGTGTTTTCTCCTATACATATGTACCTATGATGAAGTTTAATTTATAAATTAGGCATAGTAAGAAATTAACAATAACTAATAACAAAATAGAGCAATTATAACAACTTACTGTGATAAAAGTTATGGGAATGTGGTCTCTCTCTCTCTCTCTCTCTCTCTCTCTCTCTCTCTCTCTCTCTCAGCACACTAGCATGAAATTCTTTTTCCTTCTTCATAATTTCACAGATGGAAGATTCAGTTTAACCTTAGATCTTAGCAATCTCAGCATACAATTTTTCTTTCCTTATTAAATTGAACTTCCACCTTTTTACCTAAAGGAAGCACTTTCTGGGTTCTCCTTGGCATATCTGAAGAGCCAGCATCACTACCCCTGCACTTTAGGGGCATTATTGAGAACAATAAGGGTCTCTTGAACACATGCACTGTGATATCAGGGCAGTCCATCTGATAACCAAGATGACTACTAAGTGGCTAACAGGAGGGTGGCGTATAAGCGATAGGCTGGACAAAGGGATGACTCACGTCCAGGGTGGGACAAGAGGGCCAGCGAGAGATTTCATTATGCTATTCAGAATGGTACACAATGTTAAACTTATGAATTGTTTATTTCTGGAATTTTCCATTTAGTATTTTCAGACCACAGTTGACCACGAGTAACTGAAACCACAGGAAGCAAAACTGTGGACTGCTGTACATACATATCTATAAGGCACCGACGTACTTTACTCCTCTGGGAACTCCACTTGCAGGAGTCAGCACTGTGGGATGGGTGCACGAGATGGCCTCTCGCACCCCAGTGTTTCCTGATCCCTGGAGCCCCAGCCCCCAGGCCCTCCCTGTGGCTGATCTCTCCTGGACCCTAGGCCTTTCCCTCTCCTGCCCCCCAGCCTAGAAGTCCAACCTGTCCTTTTAGGTCCAAATCCACAGTGGCTTCTGTGGCAGGCCTGGACCCCTCCCCTACTTGACAAGTCAGATGGTGTCTCCTTGCTGGTACCACAGCCTCTCATGGTCATGTCCTTGAGCACAGTCTGACTGTGGAGGGGAAGTGCTCGCCAGCCTCTCTCCAGCAGTCAGGGACCTGGGAAGGCAGTGTGTTTTCTATGATGGACATAAAGCATATGATTGACTCAGACATGGTCCTGGCAATTCATGCGGTGGTTCTGAGGTGAGGGACACATCCAGGTCCTACACAGAGACCTTGCAAGTGCACTAAGATGTCATCAGCCTGGCAGGATGCCCACGCTTGTGTCCCCTGGGCAGCAGGCCTGGCAGAAACCTGCCTCTTGGGTGGGGTTTCGGCTGGAGCTACCCAAATGCTGAGTCCGCCCTGCCTGGCTCCCTTTCTGGTTGTCATTAATGGGTACCCTTTAACAAGTTTGCCTAAAGGTCGCTCAATTGGGCCAAGCCTTCCAGGCAGACGACGAAAGTGAGAGGTCTGGCCAGGTCCAGATGAAAGTTGGAACCACTTTCTATCTGTCCCTCTCTGCCTGGGGCAGCACTGCCACTTTCAGAGGTGCTAGAAAATGTCACCCACAAGCTAGATATTTCAGGTGTTGGAAAAACAAACGCTTTTGCCCTGATTTGTTCACCAGACTTGAGTGTCCCCATCAAAGCGCATGATGACAGCAGCTCAGAGAGGGCCGAGCTCGGTGAGCACTGTGTGAAGATGGGAACACGCCAGTGCCTGGCAGGAACCGGACCAGAATTCAGCTGTGGGCACCCCTGAGAGTAACCAGCATGGTGACAGGTTCTTGTGTGCAGCAAGGGCAGCTCGCACGACTGTTTTATGGGAGGTTGTCATAAGCTACCTCCTATGGGGCACCAGCATAAATCAAAGTTCAAAGTCAACTGACTGACAATTAAGATACTGCCAGACCCTCTCAGAAGGCAAGATGGAGCTTCCCATTTGGAACTTTAGAAAAGCACAAACAACAAGTTGGAGACAAGAAGCCATATAATTAAGGTCCGTTTCCAACATTATCTTGAGGCTCTAGAATATTCTAGCAGCTGTCCTCCGCCCCGCAATCACGACCCACAGTGGGGGAAGGAGAAATCCCATCGGCGCTGCAGGAGCCCACGTGAGCGCAGGAGGGACTGGGCAGCGTCACGGGCGGCCCCGTGGGGCGATCGGGACTCAGCAGCCCCCGAGGTTCGCCTTCCTCCCTCTCCCGGGGGAGGGGAGCGCCGCAGCCCCCACCCGCCCCCGTCCGCAGGGGCGCACTCACCAGCTCCGGCAGGAAGAAGGCATAGGGGATGGTGAGGAACAGCGCGAGCCCCGTGGGCACGTCGGGGGGCGCATGGCTGGTGGGGGGCGGCGGGTCCCGGGAGGCCATGCTCGCACCCTGCCTGGCACCCAGCTCCGCAGCTCCCTCCCGCTGCCCGTCAAATATCACCTCCTGCCCGACACAGACACACCCATCGGACGTCTTCTGGGAGGGACTAAAACGTTCCAGCCGAGCAGGTCCTTCCACTCCCTCCAGCCAGAAATCCTCAGAGAAAGGCAGGCTGCGCATCAGGCAGGCCAGGCCTCCCTGGCGGGGCCGGATCGCTGGGCAGGCAGGCTCTTCCTTCCTAGGAATTTTTGAATCCTGGAGCATGTTATTTCAGGCCAGCAGCAGCCACTACCCTCCTCCCTGTTCCCAGAGTATAGGCTGAGGCCGTTGGCCGTGACAGACACGTTTATTTAAGACCTCCTGTGAGCCACGCAATCTGCAGAGCACTCTGATGTTCCCCACAGCCCTGCACGTGGCTAGTTCTCGCCTTTCCCAATGGCAGAGACCAAGAATCTGCAGTGTCAAGTCAGGGACCATGGATGTGTTGGGTCTCACATGGGTCTGCCCTGGTCCTTCCTTGTCCACCAAGGGGGCCACCCTCAACCTCAAACCAGAGAGAGGGGAGGAGCCCTCACTTCCAGCTCCTGTCCCCTGGGACTTGGTGCCTCCTCCTTTCTCTGCGCCCTCCTATGGCCACTCTTCTTTTCCCCACACAGCACACGAGGAGGCCACCCTCTCTGGGAGAAATGTGCCCCAGCAAGCACCGGAGACAGGCCTGCTGGCTGGGTGCTGCCCCGAGCCCCCACCCTGCTCCCTCCACCAGTGCAGCCAGGAGCCTGGCTCAGGGCCGGGCGGCTCCTTCCTGCCTCCGGCCCTGCTGGCCCAGCACAGGGGTTGTGACCCTGCAGCCAGGCAACTCCTTTCACTCTACAAACAGGCCCTGGAGATTTGAGCCCTTTTCCTCTTCACCTTAGAATGAATCAACCATCTGTAGAAAGGCTTGGCACCCACCGTCTGCTCGGGTGCTGAGGGTTGGGTCCCTTCTCCCTGCCTTCATGGCCTCCCTCAGCGCTCCATCTGGAGAGGTGTGGGGAGTACTGCAAGAATTAGCTGTTCTCCACAAGAGGCCAGTGTCTGCTCCTTAGCAAGAGTGCTGGTTCCAGCCCTGACCTCCCACATAGGTGGGTGGAGCAGCCAGCTCGGCCTTTGCCTGGTCTGGGAGAAGGGTTTGGACAAACAAAGCCAAGAGCAAAGGCACTACAAAGAGTGGCAATGGGCTCGCAAAGTGCACCTCCAGCCAGCCTGCGGAGGTCCAGGGAGGACATGAGGCGGGGGGCTCACCTGTCGCCCACCCCACCTACTTGGCAGGATGGACCCAAAGCAGGCATGGCTCCAGGAATGCCACCCTTGTCTCCTCTCCTGAATGTTGTAATAAGCCCTGTCCACCCGTACGGGCTGCAGGATCCATCTCACTTGACCACCACCGACCAGGTGGCACAGCGGGAATAGCTGAAGGGAAAGCAAGAAGGAAAGCCTTTCTCAGGCTCAACCCTGGTCTACGAGGCAGAGGTGATAAATGGGACCAAGCCCCTTCCACCTCTTGAGGCATTTAGTGTGTTCATAAAATGTGGTTATAAAAAATCCGGCTGTAAAAAAACCTCTAGCATATTTTCAACGTTTACATTTAACCAAGTGATGTTTTATTATATGCAACAAAGTATAGTGTACTTTCCTCAGGCTATTTAACAGAATACTATAGGATTCACATGGCAACGAGGGCGAGATTCCAGAAGGGAGGAAGTTAGAACTGCAAGACCATCTCCACCTTCCAGGCCAGGGCTGGGGGTGTGAATGCTCTCGGACACAAAGTCAGGGTCCTGTGTGAGGTGGGCAGTGTGGGGGGCTGCCAGGCCCAGAAGAAGAGGCCAGGGCCTCTGTGAAGGGCCCCCTGGTTTCCATGTCATGGCCTGAGAATTAGTGAATACTGGAACTCACGACCATCATCTCCATTTTCTCATTTGTTAGTTGGGGCAGGTTAAATGAGATGATATATATGAAAACCAGGAGGACAGTTCTGGCATGTGACAGGTGCTTCACAAGTATTTGTCTTTCATTCCAACTGAAATCCCTTCTCTTTTGGCTCTCTTTCTTTCCACAGCAAGACCATCACCTCCTCTCTTAATATTTCCATTCTGATTTTAAAAAATTATTTCAAAACTTTTATTGATCTATAATACACTTACAGAAAAGTGCACAAAACATAGATACCATGAAATCACCATCCAGAGCAAGAAATAGAACATTGCAGACTCCTCCCTAAATACCTGCTCTCCTGATGTCTAACCCCAAAGGCTGGTTTTGCCTGTTTCTGATTGGGCTCCTTTGTGTCTGGCTTCTTTTATTCAACATACTGCCTGTGACACCTACCCATGTCATTGTGTGTTGCTGTAGTCACTGCTGCACAGTATCCCAGTGCACAGACACACTGCACTATTTACACATTCGATTGTTTATGGACCCTTGAGCTCTTTCAATTTGGCATATGAATTCATTAATAACAGCTATGAACTTTCTAGAACAAGTCTTTTGGTGCATCTATGTGTGTATTTCTATTGGGAATATCTTAGGAGTGGAACTGTGGGTGTTGTGGTATGTGTTTTTAGCAGATAATATCAAGCTATTTTAAAAAGTGGTAAAACCATTCACAGTCCCAGAAACAATGCAGTCCCACTGCTTGTAATCGATGTTTGCATGTATATTATCACACACTGGGTGTTTTTGCATGGTATGTATTTTTCCACTCTTTTAACTTACCTATGTAACTATATTTATAATGGTTTCATTTGTGGTTATGATATATTTGGGTCTTTTTTCCCCCTAATCCTCCTGAAATTTGCTTTAATTGGTGTGTTTAGACCACTTACATTTAATGTAATTATTGATATGTTTGGATTTACATCTACCATTTTATTTTTTGTTTGCTCTGTGTTTCATTTGTTTGTTTCCTCTTTCCTGCATTCTTTAGGATTTTTCAAATATGTTTAGTATTCCATTTTAATTCGCCTATTGAGTTTTTTACTATGTCCCTTTGTATTGTTTGTTTAGAAATTGCTCTAGGAGTTACAATATACATAGTTAACTTTCCAGTCTACCCAGAACTAATATTTTGCCACTTCAAAAGGCATGTAGAAAGCTTATGACCATATGGGTCCCTTTACCCTCCTGCTTTCCAGGTGTAATTGTCTTATATGCTACATATACATAAATTGAAAACCCCCCAAGCAATGTTATGATTTTTGCTTTCAAGTATCATATATATTTTTAAGAACTTAAGAGAAAAAATAATCTATTATATTTACCCAGATAGTTACCATTTCTGTTGCTGTCCCTTCACTCCTAATGTCCCAGGCTTCCCTCTGGTATCATTCCCTTCTGTCTGAAAAGCTTCCGTAAATACCTCTTCTAGAGCATGCCGCTGAAAATGAGTTCTCCTAGTTTATCTTCATCTGATAATGTCTTTTATTTTTATTGAGGTATAATAATATTGAGGTATAATTTATAGACATATAACATTATATTAGTTTCAGGTGTACAACCTAATTATTCCATATTTGTCTAAATTGTGAAATGATCACAATAGTCTAGTTATCATCCATCACCGCACATAATTACAGAATTTTTTTTCTTGTGATGAGAACTTTTGAGATCTACTCCCTTAACAACTTTTAAATATGCAGCACAGTATTATCAACTATAGTCGCCATGCTGTACATTAAAAAATACGAATTTGTGTGTCAGCATCATTCCGATTTTAGTATATGTGTTGTGGAACTGAGCATAATCAGATACTCTTTATTCACCTTCATCTCTCAAGGATAGTTTTGCAGAATATAGAATTCTGGGTTAACAGTTTTTTCTTTGTTTGTTTATTTGTTTTTTCCTTTCTCTCAGCACTTTAAAAATGTTCTACTGCCTTCTGGCCTCTGGTTTCTGATGAGAAATTCACAGTCATTCAACTTGGTGTTCCTTATATTAGATGCATTGTTTTTCTCTGGCTGCCTTCAAGATTTTTTTCTGCATCTTTACTTTTAGTAGTTTGATTATGATATGGCTGGGCATGGATTTCCCTAAGCTTATCTTGTTTGGTTACAGCTTCTTGAATCTGTAACTTTATGTCTTTCACCAAATTTAAGAAGTTTTCAGCCATTATTTCTTCAAAAATTTTTTCTGCACTACACCCTTTTCCTCCTCCTCCTAGACTCCGATGACAAGAATGTTACACCTTTTGGCATGGTCCCACGGTTTCCTGAGGACTGTTTTCTTCAATCTATTTTCTTTCTGTTGTTCAGCTGGATAATTTATACTGATCTGTAGATCAGTTCACATTGGTTTATCAATATTGATCTATTGAATTATCTTTAGGCTCACTGACTCTGTTATCTATATTCTGTTACTGAGTCCATCCAATGACTATTTTCATTTTGGTTATTATATTTTTTTACTTCTAAAACTTCAATTTGGCTCTTTCCATATCATCTATTTATTTGATGAGACTCTCTTTCTACTCATTTCAAGGAGATTTGACCTTACTTCTTGGAGCATGATTACAATAGCTGCTTTAATGTCTCAATTCCAACAACTGTGTCATCTCAGAGTTTTGGTCTCTTGATTGTCTTTTTCCTTGAAAGATGTTGAGATTTCCTTGGATCTTCAAAAATCAAGTAATTTTAGATTGTATCCTGGACATTTTGAATATTGTTATGGGATTATAGGTTTTTCTTAAATCCTATGGAAAATGTTGGTCTTTCTTTCTTTCTTCTTTCTTTCTTTCTTTCTTTCTTTCTTTCTTTCTTTCTTCCTTTATTTTTTAAATCAGGTAATCAGTCTGGTTAGGTTCAGGCTGCAAGTTTCTGTCTGCCTTCTCTGGTCTGAAACTACTAAATAGTGTCAGTTCAGTTTTAAGGCTTCTCAGTGCTATTCCAATCTGTTCAGTGTGTGTGCTAGTCTTGACCCAGGAGCTCAATTCTAATGTCCATAGGTGTGCTGTGTACGATCAGCTTTGGGGTGAGCTTAGACATTCATACATACTTTACAGGATCTCTTCCTTTAGCTCCCCCTTTTCATAATCTCCCCAATACTTT